CTCATCATTGTATCTTCCAGAACACCTGGCTCAGAGTTTTCCAAATGTGATGGCTCAACAATATTAATTGAAGTGAGAGGATTGCTCTTCACAGCAGCTCTCACTTAAGGCTAAATTTCATTGTAACTAAAATCGAACATGAAGATTCAGATAAAATCAGACATCTTTCACTTCTTTGGTAGGTTTGGTAATATTTTTTTCAGGGTATACACTGGGGCTTGGCATATAATAAACTCAGTAAATATAATTTATCTGCAACAGACAAGAGTATTTGAATTGCATGACCACGGTGATCTCAGAAGCCAGCTCGACAGAACTATGGTTTTATTTCTACTTATATACACTGAGGGTCCCCTAAGATAGCATCCAAAGCCTCTGGTTGCAGGTTATAAAATTTTAACTCAAGCAAGTTTTAGCAAAGAAAAGGGGGAGAGGATTTATTGCTTCATGTAGTGAGAAGGTCTTTGGCATGGCTAAACTCAGAGGCTCAAACACTATCATCAAAATTGTCTTTCTCTCTTCCTGCATAGGTTCTACTCTCTTCTGTGCTGGCTTCATTCTCAAAAGACTCATCCTCACTGTACTTGTACAGGATGTGCACGTACTGTAATATTATGTTTACATCCTTTCTATTCACAACCCAAAAGGAAGACAGACTCTGTCAAATCTTAAGGAAGGCTGTGGCTGACTCTTCTGGCCCCACATGTCTCTCCCAGAGCAGGAAGGCAGGCATCAGGATGGACAGGACCCCAAGGAGAGGGGGAGGGAGTCCCCCATAGGAAAGGATGCCGTGCAGATGCATGCTACAAGTCTACTCAACAATTCTAAGTCTGAAATTCTAAGTTCCCCCTTTTTTCCCTTCTGGGTAAGGTAGAAATAAAAACAGTTCTGCCAAGGTGACTTCTAAGGTGACTACAATTAAGCAATTATTACAACACATTATTTGTTGCAGAGAAATTATATTTAGTCTATTATACACTAAGCACAGTGTCAGGCATTTTATAGACATTAGCTTATATAATTTTCACAATAGGTATATATTATTTAAGATGAGTGTACAGAAGATTAGAGAAGTTAAATAGTAAATGTCAGAATCAAAAATGCAAACTGAACCAGTTTGTCCCCAAAACCTTTATTTTTCTGCCAAATGACACAGAGTTTTGAAGATCTTTTGAGTTTCTTTATTGTGGGTATCAGAAGTTTGTAGATGAAAGCTCAAAGACCTATATATTAAGTATGACCGGAAGTAAACAGAAGGCAATTATCTATAGCAAGTGATCTCTCAGATGTCCTGAAATAATTTTATTAATACTAGCCTTAGCCTAATGTCTGAAATTCTGCCATTAGAGATTATTTTGGGCTTAGTCATCACTGCTGGTTAATTTACTATTTTACTACAAATACTTCCCAAGAGCACTTAGGATAATTTGGCGTTATTAAAATGCAAATGCCCCAGAAAGGAATAACAGATACGAACTTTCTTTTATTAGCCAAAACCTTTGTGGATATCAGATTTCTCGCTCCTTTTTTTCATGGCCCCAGGAAAGAAGACACAAGGTCAGGTCATCTAAGCAGAGCTCACAGTACCCAATGGCCACACTATGGGCTGGGGACAATTCTACAGCCTTGGTGCACCTAATGAAAATTATTCAACATTTGATGGTAGAATCCAGGCAAATTCTAAAAGGGTCTGGGAACAACAAGAAAAGGAAATATAGTTATCAGATAGCCTGTGAATAAACAGAAGAAATCAGGGTACTAAGATAAGAACAGTAACTGTTAGCACTTGCTCTAATGTTCCTATACTTGATTTTAGAAACATAAACCGCCTGAGTATACATTATTTAATAAGGGAAAAATCTGATCGTTAGTGACTATGGCTAAATGTTTTACATTGTACAACATTCCTGCTGCCACCCCAATATTACCCACAGAGATCTTGTGCGAAATGTAGTCTCAGGTTACACACAGCACCTCTGGCTTCCCTGCTTCAGAAAGGGGTCAGCAGGTACTGAGCTGCCTGGCATCCCCTCCTCCTACCAGCTCTCAGCCCCGTAACACCCCTGGAGGATTGTAACTGAGAAATTCCCCATGCTTCTGCCTTTCAGCAACTTCCTCTCTTAAATGGACCAGTTGGGGAGCATCTATTTTCTAACAGTTGCATTTCATAAATGGTTTGAAAAGTAATCCTGGCATAGTACCTGGCACATAGCACTGAATAAATTAAGAAGAGGAAGAGAAGGAGAGAAAAGAGTTGGAGGAGGAGGGAGAAGAAGAGTTGAAGGAGGAAGAAAAAGAATTACATCATATCTGTGTCCCTCATTCTTTTATTCCCTAGACTCTTACTTAGCTCTAAGGGACAAACGGGGGAAAAAATGAATAAACTTTCAAAATCATAGTAGTTCAACCCCCACTTCTTAAACCTGAGTGAGGCCCTGAGATATTAGCAGCCTGCGCAGAGCCAGACAGAACACAGTAGCAGATCTGGGTTTCTCGCCCAGTTCTCGCTCAGGCCTATGCTGTCTATAGTAAGAACTGCATGCCGAGCAATGGGCCGTATGTTTTCAACGGGCAGCAGCGGAACTGGTGTTATGCTGTGTCCTCTTGCAAATGCATTTCTGCTGGTAGGGAAGCACAATAAATGTCACTGTCCACTGATGGGAGGTTGCCTCTCCGCAGTCCCTGGGGGCCGGGCTTCAGAGTCTAAGTGAGAATCTGTCAAAATGTTTCTCTGGTACATTCAGTAACCAAAGCTCTTCGTGGGTTCCCGTCATTCCATGTTCTTCCCTCTGATAGGCTTATTTATAATGAAATTCTCTCACACTCCTATCAGGAAATGTGTATCATTCTCTTCATTGACAAGCATCTAGAACATGCCTCCTCTGGGTTGGAATATCATGTGGGTCTGGTGCTACTAAGAGATATATAACACATATTCTGAATGTGGGGAGCTTGAATCCATGTGGTAAGATAGAGAACACATATGAAGGATAACCGTGAAGTCAGTGTATCTTCAGTGCAAACGAGAAGGGCAAAGTATATACAGGGCTTATAGGATTTCTAGGAAGCCACCTGGAGAATTAGAAAATCAAAATACAGACTTCCTTGAATATAACTTAATCACCATCATTGTAATTAAGGTTCAAAAATGTAAGTATTCACCAGACATGAAGTCCACACTACACACCTCAATTTATATATTAATGTAATACTATCAGACTCCAAATCATCAGAAATTATTTTGGGATTTGACTCCTATTTATGAAATGAGTACTATAAATGGTCCCGGTAACTCATCCCACACTAAAAGACTATATTAAAACATTTCATGTAAAAAATTAAAATGGGCGTCATGTTAAAATACATACTTATTCTAATATTTCATTTCAGCATCACAGAATATCAAGGCTAGGAAGTAACTGAGTTGTCAGTGCATCCATTCATGAGTGGGTCCATTCTCCCTTACAACATCCCTAGGATTGGTTTCCCCATCCTATGCTTGAATACTTCCAGTGACAGGAGACTGACTACCTCGTGAGGCAGTTCAGTTCATCTTTGGACATTCACTAATTTCATTCTACATAAAAGCAACATACTTCAAAATGGGAAAAATTGCAAGAGGAAAAGGGCAAGTACAATGTTTTCTAATTAGTTAGAGATGTAGCCATTTAGTTACTAAGTTTTCTTTTGAGGTTTACTTAATGAGATAAACTGTAGTGGTCAGTATGCCTGTGCAACGACATTTCTGTTCACAAACATTCCTTTCAGGCAGCTCACTATGAGAAATTAAGTCATTCATAGAAAAGTCCTATATAAGTATTCAGCAAAAATGACATTAGAGAATATCTACATATTTGTTAACCCTATAGTATCTACAGTAATTTTAATGTTAAGAATGTTCCTGTGTAGCAATAGAAAGAGCTTAATCTTCCAAGAAACATACACTTAATATCAGTATATTCTATTTACTGTGATAAAAAAAAGTATACATTTTGGAAAAATGTTCAACTGTGCTGGGATCCAAACAAAAAGGGCTTAGCTGCTTTGTGACATATTAACTGATAAACCATGACGAGCTCTGCTGTATTTGACTATTCATTCCATTATGGAGATTTCCAGCAATCCCACTACTGGGTATTTATCCACAGGGAAGGAAATCGGTACATCAAAGGGATACCTGCACCCCCACGTTTATTGTAAGCACTATTTACAATAGCCAGGGTATGGAATCAACCTAAGTGCCCATCAATGGATGAACGGATAAAGAGAATGTGGTGTATATACACAGTGGAATACTATTCAGCCACAAAAAGGAATGAAATCCCGTCATTTGTGACAACGTGGATGGAACCAGAGGTTATTATGTTAAGAGAAATGAGCTAGGCACAGACAAATCTTGCATGTTCTCACTCATATGTGGGAGCTAAAAAAAGTGGATCTCATGGACATAGAGGGTAGATTGGTGGTCACCAGAAGCTGGGAAGTGAGGGGTACGGAGGGTAAAGAAAGGTTGGTTAATGGGTACAAATATACAGTTAGATAGAAGGAACAAGTTCTAGTGTCCAATAGCACAGTAAGGTCACTATAGTTAACAACAATTTATTGCATATTTCAAAATAGCTAGAAGAGAAGAGTTGAAATGTTCCCCAAAGAACATGATAAACGTTTGAGGTGATGGATATCCTAAATACTGATTTGATTATTACACATTGTATGCATGTGTCAAAATATCACACGTACATCATAAATATGTACAATTATTATGTATCAATAAAAAATGCATAAAAAATTTCTAGCTATGCATATAGTTAACCTTCCACACAAACTTAGGCTGCTGCACAACTGGTTGATTAAAAAATCATTTTGTTTGTCATCAATAGATTAAAATAGTAGCACTAATAAATCAATTAAATTGAATTCTTTCTACCTACCACCACCACCAAGGGCAAAAGCAGGATAAAATAGTAGCGGGGGGAGAAAGGGGGTCACTTGACTCTTACCACTTGGCCAATTGGGTACGTCCTTGCTGTATCTCTGTAGCACTGCAGAGGACGAGCTTTCCAACTCACCTGTGTTTTGAGAATAACACCCACAAATTTAAACTTTCACCAAAAACTCATCAAATTTTCCATAATTTGAGCTGTTCTCAGGAGGAACATTCTAGGGCCACCACCCTTTACAGTAGAATTAGAAGGGCGTGGGTATTCACATTTTTGTGCTCTGGCCTTAGTAGGTGCTCGTAAAGTATATAGCTCAGAACAAGCTAACAAGACTACTAGGTGGGGACATGAAGATGACTAAGACCCAGCAGGTTACTGTACAATCCATCAGAAAAATGTTGAGTCCTCCGAAATGTCTATTGTGGATTCTTTCACATGTTATCAGCACAATTTAAGGACTGGATACCTACAGCTAGTGCTAATTTCCATGTGGCTGGGCAATGAATTCTCTGCCACTTTTTTACGCTCCCTTTATAAGTGCTGTTAGGCATGTATCACCAGCAGGATAGCAGTGCCTGGCATAGAAGCTTCTCTTTAGACCATCCTTGTAGCAGAGACATTAAACACAGCATCAGGAAATGGCTCTATAACGTGCACATATGTGCACATAGGGTGTGTGGATGGAATGAAAAGCAGATTAGGAGGAGAAAAACAGTGAAATAATAACAAATGAAAGAAGAATGAATGATGGGGAGAAAACGGGGAAGACCAGGGGGCCAGCAGGAGTGAATGAGAGGAGGGGGCGTGAATGCATTTATTCTAAACACAATTTGCATTTCCAGACTGGAACTTGGCTTTGGACATGGTGTCTTGTCTTCATTTTTTTTTTTTTTTTCCTTTGGAAAGCTTGGAATTTTGGAAAGCGAACTCAAAAACGAGTATACATCACGCCCCATAAATCGATACTAGGAAGCGTTGTATATAAAACACAAGACTTTGTGATCCAACAGTCCTAGATATGAAAGACAGAAAACAGCAAATTCCTCCGAGTTGAAACTTCAGATAAAGCCACAAGACTGCTTACACATGGGAAGAAGAGAAATAGAACAGGAGAGCAGGTGCTCCAAGGGAAAACTGTGAGCAGAGCAATAGGAAGTGGAGAAGCATAAGGAAAGAATTCACTACCCCTGCATCTGCTCATGCCAACGTTTTTCAGATAGGGATGTTCCCGAAGAAATGAATCAATCAACAAAAAATCTTCAGGAACTACAAATGAATCATTCTGACAAATAATCTGACAAGTGTCGGGCTGCCAAATGAATGCCAATGCTCTTTGTTAGAAAGCGAATGATTTTGTTGTAAGGTCATCTCAGGTTGTAAGATCAGGATTGTTACATACTGTACAGTATCATTTCACAAGTAAAATTCAGAGCATAGTTTGTTGGTTCTTGTTAACAATCAAATGCTCCCAAGTCTCCAATGTTTGGAGACTCCAGCATTTATTCCAAAGTATTCTCAAAAGATTGCTTGTAAAAACTGACTTATTTCCTGAGGGAATAGGTATAGGATACATACTAATTTTTTTTAAACTGTCCCTGGATAGTTTCCTGAGGAAACCAGCAGAAGGAAATATAAACCAGATGTGGATCTTAGAGTATCTGAACCAGATATGAAATTCTGTGGACCTATTTCAATTATAATCTAGCACTGCTGTGAAAGAAATGTGGCTGCAAATTTAGTAAATATGACTGGGAACATTTTATTGAAAAGTAAGTAAAAATTCCACATTTCAGGGCAATGAGTGTAAGACAAACTCTATCCAGTACACTAATTAAAATGCCAGTATCCTATTTAGCAATGCTAAAATGTAAGTGGATGCATACAAGTTGGTGAGGAAAAAAATCTCAAAGCAAATGTCACCACTTTAAGTTCTGTTTTCTGGGCTATAAGCAGATGTGAAATTTGCCTGGTATTTGTTTAAAAATATTCAATGAGGTTTCTGCTGGAAGCAAAGCAGCATCCCTTGTTTGGAGTGGTCTTACAGTTATACTTCCCTTCCGGGAAGAACAAAGCAGAAGACACATGAAAATATTTGCAAGTGTATAAAACACATCATTTTAGACCCAGCTTTATCTCTCTATATGTTATTATTGACCATATTTTCTCGAAAATATGCCAGTTTTGGAAAACAAATATAAAGTCTGGCTTGTACAATATGGCAAATTTAATGCAGTGATTTAAAGAAACTCAAACTCTGACTCTAGCTTATCTGATAAAAATGAGCTATAAGAATACCAACAGAAGAAAATCAGAAATTTTCCAGCATTTTGTATTTTTAACATAGCCTATCTATTAAGTTACTGTACTTTCACAGTTAATTTACAGCTACACATCTACCAGTCCCTTTAAGAAATGCACATTAAAAATCACAGCTGATTAGTCTGTTATCTTTTCCATAAGAGAAAACAAAACTATCCCTAGGACACAACCACACAAAATAGCCCAGCACTTAGGATTCTGCACAGTACAGATCTCACTTACTGATTTTTTCCTCATCTCTTGAGAAAGGGAAGCAGCAAAGCTGGCCCATGGCAGTGGTACTGTCTGTCTTTCCTGGTGTTCCTCTCCGAGAGCACCCCAAATAGAAACTGCAGTTTATAGCACGGGCTGCGAGCACACCCTGCCTATTGCACTCCACGGAGCAGCACACAAGCTTGAAGAGCCAGTGCACACGCCTCCAGGGGAGAGAGAGAAGCTACTCGCTGCGGTGAGCAAAAAAGGCTCCACCTCCAGTCCTCCAGCCTAACGCAACTGCTCTGGGACTGGCATTCAGTGAAAGAAGTGGCCGTACACTGGCCTAATTCTCACAAAACCGTGAGCCCCTGGCCTCAGATCAGTGCCATGTGAGCTTTATGGCTATCTGTGTGTGTCTTTAAGGAAGATAACTGAGAAAAACCATGAGTCCTTTCTCCTGCAGACAAATGCAGTAATTACACATGGAAATTCGCACCAGAAAAACCCCTTATTTTCTGTCTGCTATTTAAAGAGGAAGAGCTTTCTTTTATCCCTGGGAGATCATTGTGGTGTTTGTTTGTTATGTGACTAGGGAATCCAACATAGCAGAACACTGAAAACACAACTCATAGGAAGTACAATTAACTACCTAACAAACTGCATGAAAAATAGAAATGACAGGGCAAGTGGGGGGAAAGTGACTATCAAGTGTTAACTGCACATTATAGCATATCTTTTAAAGTTAAATACCTGCTTTCTGAAATTGCCTTATGCCTCTACTAACACAGTAATCAATACTATGAATTTTGAAATTGTTGCATCAATTATGTCAATGGCCTAGAAAATTACCCACGCATAGATGCATCACTGAGAAAAAGATCAAGGATTAGGGTGTCTTTTTGTATGAAATCACAAGGTGATTGAACAAATTCAGGGGCTGCAAACAACTAATTTTAAGACATGATATATTTTACACTTTATGACATGAAATAACGGATTTCATGTAATTGTTCAAAATCTGTTATCTTGCAGAGGGAACAGATTTACTTTGTGACACTATAGGAATGAAAAATTCTCTTAGTGCCAGAAATTCCATCCAAATTCTTACTGTGTTCCTCTACTTCCTAGCTAGGCACCCACACCTATTTACCAGGAGTCGGAAGGAAAAAAGATGATGCTGAGAACCTCAAGTGGTTCTGAACGTACTATGTCTACTTTTACACTCATCCAAACAAAAAGAATGTGCAGTTTGGAAGAATGAAAGTTGTCAATTTTACAAGTTCTATATGTTGCATTTTTTAATCTCAGTTAAGAAGTTGAAAAGCACTAAAATATACTTCCAACGCTTTTTTCAGAAAGAATTTTGATAATTACAGTTTGATACAAATGTCAAGGAGTATTTTAGAGTTATCAAGCAATGTAAATTGATTCTGTGGATCACAGGGACATTAATATGCACTTTGATTTCCCAAGATTAGAAATATTATGAAGATCTATGTAATAAAAAGCAAAGATTTGATTGAGTAAATGAAACTGGCAGGTCTATCTACATAATTAAAATTAACATTTGAAATGTTACATAACTTAAAATTGCTTTCACTTTTTCAGACTATTGAAAATGTAAATACAATGCATACTTAGCCTTGATTTAAAGGGCACACTCTATTCTATCATATAATGAGCATATAATTTTAAGTGAAATTCCATTTTTATAACCAGTTTTGTTTCTTCACAGCTAATCAGCCTGTAAATTAACAGTAATATTAAGCTGTTCCACTGCTCCCTCTCAAATTCACCAATACATGAGTGAGTATAAAATATGATTTTGTATGTAAAATAGTCCTAAAAGCAATATGAACCCTATTAATACTAGAAAGCAAATAAATGGCCTATACCCCTAAAAAAGGTAAAATCAGAACTGAGAGTATACTTTGAACACTGGAGACATGACACAGCATGGGGTCCTTCCTCGCCTTATTATTGCCACTAACCAGCTGAGAAACACTAGACAAGACCTTGGTCCTCCCTGGGCCTCAGTTTCTTCATACAAAAATAAGGCAGTTGAAATATTAAGGTCTTCTACAGTGCTAAAATTATGTTATTTTGTGATCAAAAGAACAAAGGAAATAGTCTAACAACCAGTGAACAATTATCCTAAACATTAATTTTTGTTAAAAAAATATTTGCAGTGAACATTCTTCATTGAGGAAAATGAGTAACCCCTGGCATTTCCCAATCACCAGCATTGGTGCACTGATAAAACCTTTACAATCAGAAAACCAAGGGTTTGAATCCCAGATCTCTCAGGTATTAACAGTTATGAAACCTGGACCTCTTTGTCAGAGTTTTCGTATCTTCACCTGTAAATCAGTTAATTCATTATAAAGTCTATAATTTGTTATTGCAAAGTAGATAGTATTTGGGAGAAGAAGAGAACAGAAGAGAACAGATGCCATGATGGCATCTATATGCACACCAGTCTTTTTAGCACCAAGTAGCAATCTTGACATCTCCTCTTCCAAGCCTGTGCCCTGCTAGCTGCCATTTTGAGTTAATACTTATGCATCTGCCTATAAGCAAAAAGGCCCCATACTTGAATGCAGAGCCCAGAAGAATAACATTCTTGTGATGAACCCTACCAATTTAACTTTATTATTAATTATTCCCTGTTGGCACTGCTTCTGAAAATGTGCAATTAAGAATAAAATATAGGCCGGGCACAGTGGCTCCCACCTGTAATCCCAGCACTTTGGGAGGCCGAGGCGGGAGGATTGCTTGAAGTCAGGAGTTCGAGACCAGCCTGAGCAAGAGTGAGACTCCGTCTCTACAAAAAATAGAAAAATTAGCCAGGTGTGGTGGTATGGGCCTGTAGTCCCAGCTACTCAGGAGGCTGAGGCAGGAGGATTGCTTGAGCCCAGGAGTTGGAGATTGCAGTGAGCTACAATCATGCCACTGCACTCTAGCCTGGGTGACAGAGTGGGACTCTGTCTCAAAAAAAAAAAAATATATATATATATATAAAATATGTCATTAGCTAAGTAACAGCATTTATCAGGATATTCAGCAATTAAGAGGGAACTATATAACTATACAATATTAGAGACTTTTTTCATAACCATTAAAAATGAATCATAATAAAAGATTAGAAAACAATAGAGAAATTCAAGATAGAAATTTAAAAAGCTAACGTTTACTGGACATTTACTATATGCCAGGCACTTGGTAAGTGTCTTATATTTTACTGCCTCACGGAATCGCTACAACAGCTCTATGAGGACGGTGCTATTACTATCCCCATTTTAGAGATGAAAAAACTTAAGCATGGAAAAGTAACTTGGGCAAAATCTCTGAGTATGTGACAATAATGGGATCTGAACTCAATTTGTCTAGTTCTACAAAGCCTAAGCATCTGATCCAGAATCCTGTATTATTAATCACAATTTGTGTATGGGATCAGGCATATACTTGACGAAATAGCTTACTACAATTTCAGAATAATGTACAGAAGAATTTAACCAAGCTCTATGGTAGTATGTTTCAAATTTTCCCTTGGTTTCTCCTGTTTTGCCAACAAATTCCTTTATTAATGTTGCTAGAGTAATATAATCCTGGTTTTAAACAAAGAACCTAAAGACAGAGCCCTTTGGGAGCAAGAGCCTAGCACTGTTGCCTGCCACACCATGGGGAGACGACTCAGTCTGTGGCACAGAGATACCAGAACTGCCCCTGAATGCAAACATCTTATAGGAAAAACAGCAACCATTCATACCATTCATAAACAATCCCCAAGGATGTTAATGGACTTTTATTAGGGAATTAACATACTCTTTTCAGTAATATATGGAGGTCTACTGTAACTAGAAGATGATTTATAAAAGAGGAAGATTAACCTTCATGAGGAAAAATATCTGATATCATGTCCATAAATTTAGAACCACAACTGTTTCATGCTTTCTTTTCTCACAGGCCTGGCTACAGACAAATCATAGTTAGGTCAGTTGCCTGTATCGGCTATAGTCTTTTGGATTTTTCTTTTCATGTTTAAAAATGGCAGGAATAAAACTAAAAGGTGCGGGGGGGAAGGCAGCTGCTACTTTGAAATATCAGCTCAGATTATTGTCTCTAGTGGAAAAAGATAATTCTTAACTATGACTGAAAATCCTATTCCTGTGCCATTGGTTGGCATCTTTTTCTATCTATAACTGAACACATATATATATTTTTAGATTTCTGAGCAACCTCTCAGAAAAGACCGACTCAAAATAAAAAGCAAACCTTACTGTAAGATTCTGACTCTATTAAAATGTACAAATTTTCAAAAATTTAAAAAAATTTACTTAGGAATCATAATACAAAAAAAACCAAAAAACATGTACAAATTACAATTCTTCTGAGACCTCCAATTCATTAATTAAAGGAAATTTGAGTTTGACAACTTGAGGAAACACATGAGAGAGAAAAGGAAAAGTAAATGTCCCTTTATTCAAAAAAGTGGAGGCCGGGCGCGGTGGCTCACACCTGTAATCCTAGCACTCTGGGAGGCCGAGGCGGGCGGATCATTTGAGCTCAGGAGTTCGAGACCAGCCTGAGCAAGAGCGAGACCCTGTCTCTACCAAAAATAAAAAGAAATTAATCGGACAGCTAAAAATATATAGGAAAAAAATTAGCCGGGCATGGTGGTGCATGCCTGTAGTCCCAGCTACTTGGGAGGCTGAGGCAGGAGGATGGCTTGAGCCCAGGAGTTTGAGGTTGCTGTGAGCTATGATGACGCCACGGCACTCTAGCCTGGGCAAGACAGTGAGACTCTGTCTCAAAAAAACAAAACAAAAGCGTGGAAAAAAAGGAGGACATTAAATCATGAAGTGTAAAGAGAGGGAAAAACTGCTTTATCCCTCCAAATTTGGGGACCAAACCTTGGAAGACACGCCTTTAAGCATGAAACAGACACTTCAGGAAGATTCCATTATACAGCAGGTAGCACGTGTATGGAAACTGCTATTCCAAGAAATGTCAGTTTCAATGACAATGTATGCAAATTAAAGAAATGCTTGACAACTCATGGAAATGTAACTCATGGAAACTGGAATGTTTTGGAATATATCCCAATTTTTATGTTGATGGCAGGTACCAAAAGACAATTATTCTGGGCCTGAAGGAGACTGGATGGATACACCCAATATTGTGCTTTGTTTCTCTATGTTCTTGTAAAAAAAAATTTGACCCTCAATTATTGACCCATAATAAGCATAAATCTACCCCTAGGCTCAGAAGATGCTCCTCCATTGCTGAGCTACTAGTGCATCTTGGTGGTCATTTTGTAACCAAAGAGAAAGGTTCTGAAACTACATCACTAAATATTGGTATTTGAAAGTTGTTCTTATGAGGGGTTGTCTGTAAGGGGAAGAGGCTGAAAACCGTAACTGAAAACTTTAGGGACTATCTATAAATCTCACTGTTAAGTCCTATTCTTATTTTCCC